ATAGCGACTGAGCGGTGACCTCGTGACCACCGATGGACTGCTTGGTGGTGGACCGGCTGAGTTACGAGCGGATGAAGCTCGAGACGGAACAGTTCAGGGCTCGTGTCCAGGAACTGGAGCGCGAGAACGACCTCTTCCGCAACGAACTGCAGCTCATGAAGAAGTTGTGCGAAACTGTGGAACAGCTGCGACAGAGTCAGGACAAGTGCATCCAATGCGTGCGCCAACAGTTCCGCATCCAAGAGACCCCCTATGACCGCGAGATCAGTGTCTACCACACGGAGTACGCGAGCATCAAGTCCATGTTGGCACAGTTGGGCCTTTTAAACACGTGCCACGCGTTGAGCGCCGCCACTAATGGTGCCGACGCGTCCGTGGTTACCGCCGATGAACTCGTCTTGACCACCACCGCCACTGTGGATCAGCTGTGGACTACTGCCACCTCTGGTGCCACTATTGTGGTGACCGACGCCCAGCATTTGGATAATCCCGACAGTTATCTGTGCGCTGACGAGGATCTGGACACTAGTAGTTTGGCTGATAATACCAGTCCCGATGTGACTCATGTGTTGATTACCACAAGTGATGTCAAGTCTGCGGCTAAACGTAAAGCGCAGACAAAGAGGACTAAAAGTTTGTTACGTTTTATGACATATGTGTTGATACCTAACCTCTAACTCTGATGGAAGATAAGGTGGACAGGGATGATAGGCACGGGTAGTGATAATACAGTTATGTTTACAGTATATCGATCTGAATCCCTGTCCACCCTATCACTCAACACAGTTGGGCGAAGGGTTTGTATTGAATGTGAGATTAACGGTGTGTTTGTATGGGACTGACAGCCTGTGCGGTGATGTCGGGCGAGAAGAAGCACAAGTGCTCGTGGAGTGGGTGTCAGTACGCGACCGACAATCGCGGGAACTTCCAGAAGCACTACCGCATACACACCGGCGAGAAGCCATATAAGTGCCAATACGAGAGCTGTCTATACAGGTATGTCTGGTGTTGGGGCCCATTAATAGTGATTGTATGACTGACTGGTGTATGTTTGGGGACAGTTGTTCAGACCCGGCCCGCTTCCGAGAGCACAAACTCATCCACTCGACTGAGAAGAGCTACGTGTGCGAGTGGCCCGGCTGTACCTGGAAGTTCAAGACACATAAGCTACTTAAGAACCACATCAAGGCCTGTCATACGGGCGATAAGCCACACAAGTGCGAGTGGCCCGGTATGTCAATGTGTTGACCTTAATTATACCGCACTTATAGCACTGTTTGCCATGTTTTTGCTCGTGAATTGCATTTTAATCGTTGTATATGTATATCGACTAATTGTATGTGTTTTGAATGGACGGGTAGGTTGTGAGAAGCAGTTCCTGAACAAGTACGAGGTGCGGGATCACATGCGCCAACACACGGGCGACCGGCCCTTCAAGTGCGAGTACCCGGAATGCAACGGCGCCTTCGCCCGAAGCAATACATTGACGCAACACATCCGGGAAGTCCATTACTATAAGAAGCAGTTTTTCTGCGATTACAGCGATTGCGACGCCAGATATGACAGAGTGGATGAGCTCAAGACACACATCAGGGATAAGCACTCGAAACAGCCGGCGCTCAACGATAGCCAGTCCTCCTCGTCGTCGTCGCGAGTGATTGATTTGAATCACACGTCAAAAGCAGTTAATAAATAGAGACTTTTTTTGTGACACGTTTTAGGAAACCGTTTTTTGGTCTTGATTTGTAATATAACTTATATTTAGTAACGTTTTTCTCGTTTTATACATTAATATAAATACTGTAACTGATGAATTTTTGATTATTATATATTATATACTCGATCTGTAAATTCAATGTTAATTTAAATGTGTTTATTATATACAGTAATTTATTTATAACTATGTTTTGCTGATTATTGCGAATCATTGTATTGATATATTAATTAAAGTAATATAAATATGAGATTAAATTTTAATTATTTAGCAAATTATTATAAGGCATATATTAGATATAATATTTGGTGCAGGGTTAACCTAATGGGGTAACTGATGTTAGCAAAGTTAGCAAGCAAGCATTAAGTGACTTGTAGAACACAATTGGCAAGAGATCTCTATTTAATTAGGCACCGACATGAATATGGGCACCACCATGATATTTGTAGCTCGTGGTGGGTATAAACCAAATTCACCGATTGGATTATCAACACCAAACTCACTCAAATCGACACAAAACTTGTGAACCACTTCATGTGGGATTCTTGATGTAACCAGGCTGTTATACAGGTATTTTGGTATTAATTATTCGGATACTTACAGTTTTTCAGGTGATGGATGTTTTAGCATATGGTAAACGTGCGTGAACAGTTTGGGAAACAACGTGCATACTGCATCTCTAGCTACATACTGCGGTATAATTGAATGCAAAAAATAGTGAGCCTCATCCACATAGTTTAAAAAATTGTATAATTAACATGCATGTTTTATGTAACACGCATAAAATAAATGTGATTAATTGTAAATGCTCACTTGACTTCGGGGGCTGTTATGTTGGGCACCAGTAGGAGCTGATCGATACTCGCAATCTCGAGACGTGAAAATACGGCCACATGTGGCCAGTAGTTGGGGTCGACCAACAGCTCGGGTGTTATTCTGCGACACATGGCATATGTTTTCTGTTTGACAGCATCGCTGCTGAAAGTAAACTTAAATCCGGAGTTGACTGCCATTATGGCACTGGGATGTGATCGGAGACTATGATCAAACCAACGGTAATATTAATTTGAAGTTAATGTGTATGCTATCAGATTCTGTATATAACTGTAATTTGTATACTACTAATAATAATGTATTCTATTATGACATATAGTGATGCCTATCGTGAAATATTCTGTGAAGTTTTTATTTTTTATAAAATTTTTAATTTGCTAATTCCAAATACGGTATGTTTATAATTATTTATTTGTATGTAACTTTGTTTATTTACCATTATGTTTTGCACTCGTATTTTACCGCTTATGATAATTATGATAAGTCTGGTTTAGTGATAAACTTTTTTACATCGTTACTTTATGCATTGCAAATTTTAATTAATTCTATTTAATCTATGAATTTGTTTAAGTTTATGAATATTATGTTTATAGATATTAAAATTTAACATTAAGCAATAATTATCAGTAATTTTATTTATATTTACAGATTTAATCTATCATAAAAAAATTAAATAAATTATTCATACAGAATAATAGTCCCTATTATAACTTTTTAAAATAAAACCATATTAAACTAAAGTAATTTCAAAATAAGTTTGTGTGAATTTAATGTTTGGACAGACATGACATTTGGACATGTAGAATTATGGTTTTTATTATAAATACAAAAGTGACTATATTATAAACTGATCACCATATAAATATGTTGCAAATTAATTCAATTTAAACATATCAAACAGATATAGACTGCAATAAAACCACAATTTCATGGCTAATCCATCCAATGATATATATAGACTCTTTGGCCGGGTATTCATAATGGCATCAACAATATCATTGATTACAGCATTAGGGTCCCAGTTGACCAAGGTTGTTTCAGTGCCTTTTATCAGTATCTTTTTAATCCTATCAAAACATTCATCTCCATAGCTATCCCTAATCGACTGATCCGTTTCACTCCACGTCCTATCCATTTGACTGATCTGTTTGTATGAATTAATTAGTATTAGAAGTTTAACATCGATTAAAATATTAACATTATATAAATGATCTAGATCATACCGCAGCATTAGTTAAATTAGTTGACATATAAATTCCGGGACATATTGTCGACACATTTACGCCACTATTAGAGGCAATCATTTCTTTACGAAGTATTTCCGAAAATTTATGTACCGATGCTTTCGACATACTATAGGCGCCACAAGTTATTTGCGATAATCGGGCCGCGGCACTCGACATAGTCACCACTCGCCCTGGTAGTTGACACCATTATCAACAAATATTTATTTTATTAAAAACTTTGTTAATAACAAACCTTTTGACTGTTTAATTAATGGCAGGAATATTCTGGTGACTCGTAATACACCGAAAACGTTGACTTCAAACACATTTTGTATGGACTCTAATGAACCCCAATCTAGACGTCCGAATAGCCCAATACCCGCGTTGTTGACCACTGACCACAAA